TTTTTTTTTTTTTTTTTGTGTTAATTACATGAGCATTATTATTAAACTTGGTTTATTGTTACATGATCAATTAAAGGAAAGAAGAAGGGGAAAGGCTTATGAATGAGATGAAGGAAGCATATTCCGGAACATACGAGCAAAATGCAAAATCTTTAAAACACAAATTCGACAATGTAAGTTTATAACCATCTTGATAAAAAATCTTGGTCCAATAATATTTCCTTTACTTATTGATGATTTTTTTTCTGAAATAGGATTCATCAGATTCATCAGATAGTTTGAAAATAAGTGAATATGAATCACCTACGCAAGATCCTGAAGAACTTGAATTAGCGATTCAAGACTTGGTTAGTGGCATTCAGGCGCCAGAAACGATAACAAAAAAGGCTTTAGAAATAATCGAGCCACCTCCTGAGCTGGAGTATAAAAAAGTTGTCGCAATATCTAAAGCAATGCCTCCAGCTAATTTTCAAGCACAAAAAATTGGCGTAGACGACCCGGGGCTCCATCTGTATAAAAGAAAAAAAACGAATCACAGTGTACTAAAAAATAAAGTTGACGGGTCGGTGTCCGAGTGCACTTCTGAAGATGAAAGGTCAGTGGTGGAATTGACTCACAAGAGAGTATCGGAATCTGAGGAAACGATAAGTCCCTTTTCAAATAAATCGGATGGAACATCTGATTCGTCATCATTCAACATCACGGTCACGGATAAACTTCAAGTTAGTATAAAATAATCTAGCTATTTTTGTGACAGATCGATTTCGATGAAGAAACATTTTTTGCAACTAGTTGAAAAATTTAACGTTAATCTTTTATGCAGCGGTCAAAGTTAAGAAGATTGTATGATGATACGAGAGACTTGGCATCGATGCCAGTGAAAAGAAAAATTCTAGATCTCCGTGAAAATCTGAAAACGATAAATATAGATGATTCTAATCAGTGTATCATTGGAGAATTAGATTATCCAACTTACATCCAAGATGTAAATCAAGTTACCGCCGAATCAACAGAAAATCAATGCATGGATACAAATGAACGACTACTAAACTCTAGTTATAGTAGTAACTCAGGTTAGTCATTGCTGTGATGAAAAGTGACAAATTTCACGTATTTTTCCAATAATTTTGAAAATAACGTTGTATATTCTTACTTTAGAAATAGTTGATAAATTGTTTAATAATCTTCCTCTATTGATTTGTGTGAAATTTAGAATTTATCACGTCCAACCCGATCCCATACGAGTGCGTATTTATTTTCGTGTACATCTATGTCTGACCATGTAAATATAATATATATGAGTATAATGTAATAAGTTTAATAAGGTTGGGTGTCCTTTTTGGCCACTCCGACGTTAGTTGACGTAAGCGCTAAATTGAACACAACAATTTTATACATACATACGCAGTCATATCATACGTACTTTTGATCTATTAGCTTCTACCATTTAAATTACACTCTCGCATCGGAAAGTAAAGAAATGTTAAATTTTGGTCGAAATACTTTGCTCCTGGCTATATATGTAGTGGCAAAACGAAAAATAAATTCAGTTGGTGGGTGTCAATGTTGTCAAGCATATGTGTATATCGTCCACACGCGCGCGACGTTTCACATGAAAGTGGAATAATGTGCCGCGCACTTCTGAGAATCGGGCGTAACGAAACAAAATTGTTAAATAATGAACAGAAATTTTCGAGATAAAGAAAATGAATACGGATAATGTTAACGTGGTTATGTCATTCTGAAATTCCGTGTGTATTATATAAAGGAGGTTCATATACGATAAATGTATGAGGAAAATAAGTCGTTGTCAATCAGATCTCGTTGCTGAGAAGGAAGGGGTCCTGCTGCGCGGCATCGAGCTGCTACTTTTCTTGTTTTTTTTATCCAAATAGGTGTACGAGATATTTCTGGCCCCTTCTTGACGTCTCTCGATCCGCGACGCGACGAGAAAAGCAGATCAGCGTTTGGATGAATTTAGGAGCAGCAGCTTTACTAACGAGAGATTGTATGAAATTGCAGGAAGAAGTGAAGGGGCAGCCGTTCTACACGTACGTGTACTCGGCCGATTGCCAGCAGGTGCAGAATTTCCTGACGTCCAAAAATTCGAAATCCCTCCCGACAATCACCGAGGACATTGGCTGCGACGACAAGCAAACCATGTACTTTCGCATAGCCACGCGCTCGAATTCACGGAGGGAGGACACGCGTTACGAATTCGTTTCCATGAGCGGCATCATACGACTTAACGACACTTGCAGAAAGAGGAAAAAGAACTCGGGTGATAACTGGCAACTGGGTGCGTCTCCCATCGCATTTTCAATTCACCCTCTCGATCGCCCGACTCATAGCTTCATCCTCTGATTCTCTTGCATGGAATCCAATATCCATCCTTCCACCCCACCCTTCTCTTGAAAACAAACAAAATTCCCTTACAACTATTAAATAAGTTGCTCTAGAGACATGGCATTCAACTGCCGTATTGCAATTTTTGTTTACAAATTAATCTTTATTATTCACCTAGAGTAACAGTAAAGGTGTATTTATAACTCCAGATGTTAAATAGGTACAATAGTTATAATGACACGATACAGTAGTTATAAATGTATAAGTTTTAAAATATCTTATTGGATTATTGTATTTTTAAATACTCATTGGTCGGGTATTTTGTTTAATTACGGTATTCGTAAATACGTGTAGTTAAATACTGGAGTAAATACAAAATTGTAGTTGAAATGCGGTATTTATATTTATTAAACATCAAATGTTGAATATTGCCCTTATCAGTTCTTACTCCATTTTTCATTTCTTTTCCAGTAAACTAATATTCTCTAAGCATGTAATTAACACTGCATTTCACTAGTATAAATAAAATATCATCAAGTGTGAAGAGGTTTTTATTTGAATTAGTTTACTTGTTTGTGCAGAAAACAGATCAAATAACGATGTTGTCTTCATTGGGACTATAACTTTACTAAACAGAAAAAAAATCGAAGACATTGCAATTTTGGATTCTACTAAGGACGAATATGTCACGAGACATTTGATTGACGGCAAGATTATTTTTTGCGATTATAGGATAGCTACGATAGCTGGTTATCTTCCTGAAGAAGTTAGCGGATTGAACGCCTTTAATTACATTCACAAAGACGATCTTCAATGGATTATGATGGTTTTAAAAAGCAGTAAGTCTTTCAGTAGTTATCGTTTACAACTGTGGTAATAAAAAAAAAAAAAAAAAAAAAAAAAAAACCAATAAACTGATAACAATTTCTTTTTTCACAGTGTACAATATGTTGAAGTACTTTGGAAAAACGTGTTACAGACTGCGAACAAAAAACGACGATATTATTTATCTTCGAACGCATGGCTATTTAGAATTCAATAGAAAAGATCAAGATTTTTTGTCGTTTGTTTGCGTCAACACTTTAGTAACGTAAGTGCATTTTCTTATTCAGCCAACTTATTATTGTTTTTACTTTTTTTTTTTTTTTTTGTGTTAATTACATGAGCATTATTATTAAACTTGGTTTATTGTTACATGATCAATTAAAGGAAAGAAGAAGGGGAAAGGCTTATGAATGAGATGAAGGAAGCATATTCCGGAACATACGAGCAAAATGCAAAATCTTTAAAACACAAATTCGACAATGTAAGTTTATAACCATCTTGATAAAAAATCTTGGTCCAATAATATTTCCTTTACTTATTGATGATTTTTTTTCTGAAATAGGATTCATCAGATTCATCAGATAGTTTGAAAATAAGTGAATATGAATCACCTACGCAAGATCCTGAAGAACTTGAATTAGCGATTCAAGACTTGGTTAGTGGCATTCAGGCGCCAGAAACGATAACAAAAAAGGCTTTAGAAATAATCGAGCCACCTCCTGAGCTGGAGTATAAAAAAGTTGTCGCAATATCTAAAGCAATGCCTCCAGCTAATTTTCAAGCACAAAAAATTGGCGTAGACGACCCGGGGCTCCATCTGTATAAAAGAAAAAAAACGAATCACAGTGTACTAAAAAATAAAGTTGACGGGTCGGTGTCCGAGTGCACTTCTGAAGATGAAAGGTCAGTGGTGGAATTGACTCACAAGAGAGTATCGGAATCTGAGGAAACGATAAGTCCCTTTTCAAATAAATCGGATGGAACATCTGATTCGTCATCATTCAACATCACGGTCACGGATAAACTTCAAGTTAGTATAAAATAATCTAGCTATTTTTGTGACAGATCGATTTCGATGAAGAAACATTTTTTGCAACTAGTTGAAAAATTTAACGTTAATCTTTTATGCAGCGGTCAAAGTTAAGAAGATTGTATGATGATACGAGAGACTTGGCATCGATGCCAGTGAAAAGAAAAATTCTAGATCTCCGTGAAAATCTGAAAACGATAAATATAGATGATTCTAATCAGTGTATCATTGGAGAATTAGATTATCCAACTTACATCCAAGATGTAAATCAAGTTACCGCCGAATCAACAGAAAATCAATGCATGGATACAAATGAACGACTACTAAACTCTAGTTATAGTAGTAACTCAGGTTAGTCATTGCTGTGATGAAAAGTGACAAATTTCACGTATTTTTCCAATAATTTTGAAAATAACGTTGTATATTCTTACTTTAGAAATAGTTGATAAATTGTTTAATAATCTTCCTCTATTGATTCATCATAATGGTAAATGAATCATTTTATATTTTCTAAAGCTTAACTCGACGTATTTGTAAATTATAGAAGATAATTTTTGTAGGAACTCCCGGAGAATAAAATATTTATCAGTTAAATATTGTAAAAGTTTAAATCTTTTACGATAAAACAGTAATTAAAGTTGAAATCGTCAAATGATAAAATGTAATTAAAATAATTGCTCCATTTGGCTAATAAAACAGGAGATTATATAAGATATGCGGGTAGCAGAAAGTATAAATTTTATTTATATCGTTTCTGGTTAAATTAAATAATGAATCTAACATTTAGACTCAGCTTGATAGGTCTTTTCAAGCATATGCAATTAGCAATCTTAAAAGTGACTAAACATACTCTACCTAGTGAGAGATGATATTCTTCTCGTTACAAGGCAGTTTATGCTTGTATAAGTTAACGAAAGATAGAGGGTATCGAAGTTCGGCAATGTTGCAAAATAAAGGTGTTGTGTCTAGTCGTTTGAATATTATTGTACAAATTTAAAATAACCGAAAATTTTATAATACAAAACTTGTAGAACAAAAGAATTTTCAACTGACTAGACCATAGCAGTGCAGGGCATTTCTTTGGCGAGTGCAAAATGTAGTTGAAAATAAGTAGAATCGATTGAAGAGAAAACTGTAACTGCTATTTATTGTTTGCTAAGGCCGGCTGAAAAGATTGAACAGCTTTCGTTGTTGATAAAACGTGCCCTACATTGATTTATTTGTTCATGTATGGTTAATGTTTAAATTTGTAAATAGTTCATGTAGTTTATAAGAATTTTACCAAGTGGTGTTCGACTTTAAATTGTGTACATAATTCTGGGAACACTGAGTGCAAAATATTTATGCTAAGATACAGATAATCAAGGTTGTATGATGTATTTACTTTATTTGGTACCATTTTTAATTGGCTCATTTACAAGACTGCAACGTGAAAATTATCAAAAAATCATGTTTTAGATCAATGGAGAAAGAGGGAACATCAGAGGTATGATTTTTTTATTTCGTCATGAAAAAATAGCTAGTTGATGAAAAATTCGTATAAAAAGTAACTTGAAAACACAAAAATTCATGCGACTGAGTCAAAAACGTAATTCTCATTTTCTATTCAAGCTTGTGGAGTGTTTTTCATGATATTTTTCTTTCAGTTTAGATATAGAAATTGATAGTCAAAATTTATATTATTTCTCGTGGTCCCTCTTTTAGGAATGTTAACAGTAGATGAACGTCGTTACATTTTTTTCACGAAAACATTCATAAAAATAATAATGATTACGTTTTATTTATCCAGACGTTTCGACATAGAATCTTACTACAATTTCTTTAGCTCATCGTAATTTCAGTAACTATACGAAGAAATTTAATACTGTTATCAAATACATTTAAACAAATTTTAATCGAATTATAAGCAGAATCGTAGATTTTTTAAAAATATATCGAGATATTTATTATTTTCAGCAAAAAATGTTCAACAAAATCTTTTGCAAGAACGTTTGTAAGCATTTACATGATAATGAGCATGAGGAGAGTTTACGTAAACATTTATAAAATTATTTATACAGGTTTTTGTGCATGCTTCGAATACCAATCTGCACATGAAAATTTCAAGTTCTTTTGTTGGTTCTTACATAAGTTCTTAAAATTCTTGCAGTTGTACATTTTTATTCGTGATTTGGTTTAAGCATCCATTTTATATATGTACATATTCAAAAGGTTTTTTGTAAACAAAATTTTTTTACTAGTGTCGATACATTTTAATTAATGTTTGTTTACACGCGTTTCATGAATAATATTGGAGATGCATCTTTTATCATTATTATTTTTATTTTTGTTTAAACTTAATATCATTATTTTATAATTCACTATTATTATATTCATTATTATTATGATTGTGTCCGACTAGGATATAATAACTAAGCAGTCAATGAAACGATCCATTATTAAAAGATATATTGATGAAAATTGTTGATTGATATTACGTTTAAAAGCTAATGGAATAATGATCAAGGTGAAATTTCGAAATTATTATTAAAGGTCGTGATCTCGATTACGTTGAAAATCTTGATCGATTGTATCATTGCTGTCGATTGCATGTTAATAAACAATGTTTTTGTGCAAAAAATGCAGTCTCAAATAAGTACTCGTAATCTCAGTGTTTTTTTACTAATTTCCAAATGAATTCATAGAATGAAAACTCGACGCGGTTTGTCAATAATCGTACAAAATATCTTGACGACCAAATTATTCAACATAGCTCATTGACGCGTGTAAAATATATCATACTTACGTTTAACTTGTTAATATTGTGAATTACGATTGAAACAAAAGCTAATATTATTAACTTACCTGCAGAAATTATGAAAAAAAAAATTTGTCGATTGTGCATCTCCTAAATGTAAAAGGTTTTCTCGCAAGTCGGATTGTCTAAAAAATTTTTACTTATTTATCACTTCTTTTATTCTATGTCCGTATATGGAACTGTACAAACAATTGTGAATATTTCAAAGGTGAGATTTTAAAATATATTTAAGCACTATTTTTTAATGTACTTAATACAGTATCATCAACATGAAACAATTACTTGAAATAGGCAACCATTTTTCGAGAAAACTTTAACTATTTAAAAAGTACGTAATTTCGAGATATTCTCGACAAAGTTACAATGTACAAAAAAAATGTTTCAATTGCTTGCAGCGTGCTACTGGAAAATCATAATACAGCTCTATATTTAATATAGGGGCCAAAAAATTCAAGAGTGATTTGATCACATTTTCATTATATGGTATAACTTTAAAAAGTCTGATGAAATTATGAGCTAAATCATTATTTTCTCGTTAAGATATGAAAATGTTTGTTTCTGGAATAAATTCTTCGTGGTGTTGATAAATGATATAGATATACTTAAATCCAAATATTCCTTGGCACATGAGACCACCAAGGTATACCGTTATAGTAAAGAGGGCAAACTTGATAAGCCTACGTAGCACGTTGTTGTAGGAGCAGTTTATTTAAAATTGATTGTCTGAGAAAGTACCTGTCAAATTGACGAAATTCTTGAAAAATTTAAACTTTTTATAAGTTGTTATCAAAAAATTTTAAGTTTTAATCGTTGGTTTGGCATAAATTATTCGTAGATATATTTAAAATTATCGACTGTTTTTGTTGACACGTTGGAATACTAAATTTAAAAAACGATTATTTTACTATATAAGGACTATAAATTAAAACAAAAATTTAACGAAAAATAGAATTTTTAGGGTTTATTTGTCATAATGAAAAATTAATTATTTCTAATAATTTTAAATCAACATTACTGTAATAATTATTGTGTCAAGACTGAATTATCAAGACTTTGTAGAGGTGGACATTTTGTCAATATCTTATAAAAAAATTAATGTAAAAATTATGAGGAATAAGGAAAAAAAAAAAAAAAAAAAAAAAAAAAAAAAAAAAAAAAAAAAAAATNAACATTAAAAATTTATTTTCTAGATGCTTTAAAATTGAAAAAAAAAAAGAAGTTTGCAATTCACAACAGGCTACTGTGTTCTCGAGTTATCAAGCACTGTTATTCAAGTACTTGAGTACAAGTGGGTATATTATTAACACCGTTCGCTATACATCATTGATTCTTGTTGTACATAAATTAATACGTTAGAAGAAGGCACTACACAATTACGAAAATAATTTGTAACTTTGTCCATCGAATGAAGCAAAGATTATCTATACTTTCAAATATTAGTCTCTTGTTTAATTTGACACGAGTCTTGATTGAAAGTACATTTTTATTTATTAAAAAGATTGACAATGTTTTTTTTTTTTTTTAATTAAAATTCATTTATTTTTTCCAGCAAAAGAAACAAAGTTTGAGGGTCCGGACACTGTAACATCTATACTGTATATCCTTGAATTTTTACATAAATATAAATTTTTCTATTGCACATGTTTCTCTAAAATGTCGACTTAATGCTTTAAATGAAAAAAATTATTTAATAATACCACATATTTGACACACTTTAATGAATAGTCAAATACAAAAGTTGTAAGTCTTCAGAGTTCGATTTTTTGGTTTTTATCCACAATGTTATCCAAATATTTTTTTTTTAAGACAATCTTTTTTATTCGGCCAAAATATCATTTTTCAGAAGCTATTTTTATTATTATGCAAAGGATCCATTACAAAACATTGGTGGTGGATTTCAAAAATGATAAATTTTCTGAAAAATTACAGAACTGCGAGTCGTGTTAATATTTTTTCTCTGGTGACAAATATGTTAGACGTACGTTACATATATACACATAAGTAATTCTGACAAAACTCGAATATTGTCGATCAAGCCTTATACGAATAATTGAAAATAAAAAAAACGCGATCCTATGGTCTGAAAGTACATATTGAGCATAACGACTTATCTGATACTACAAGTCGTAAAGTAAATTTGAACGTGTACTTTTCAATCTAGAGCAAAATCATCTCTATTGGATGTTGTATACGTAATCGATGGATAACACCTAACACCTCGAACTTGATCATTTATTCGTACAAATTGTTTTTTCAATGATAAATTACGTCGTTTCTTAAATACCCCATGTGCTGACTAAAAAATATATTTTTTTTTAGTAAAATTGATTTTTTAAAAGCACGTAATGGCTATAAATACCATTTTCGTGTAAAAATCATATCTCGTGATAAAATTGTAAAATTTAAAAGGCCAAATTTTAGTTTCGTTACGGTCAGTTACGTAAACGCATGGAAGTTACGTTATTTCAGGTAAACGTAGGAAAAACACTGGAGTATAGTACCTGAGGACGTCACATCGATTATAATAATCGGAGAGTCACACAACTTCAACTCGACGCTTCTGAGAAATATTTACAGGAATAGTATAACTTATGATAATTTGAGGAATTTTTTCAATCCCAACATTATCTTCTCGCTCGCTAATAAAGAACGTGTTCTGAAATATCGGTCTCTAAAATAAATTATTTGCTAGAATATATCTAAGTTTTGAAATTTATAAACTCGTAAACTTATTTGAGCAGACTTTACGAAATTGTAACTCAAAAATCATTAACAATCAACGAAACAATCTAAGAATATTTTGATTTTATCGTAGCCTAGAAGGCATAAAAAAAAACTTTCTTGAGTCAGACGTGTTATCTTATCATGGTGGAGTTGGTATTATACTAATGACTATTATATGTCTGATTTTTTAAATTGTAATAATGACAAGTTTATAAAATAATCGAAATTAATTAATACGAATACTGCAAGTTTTGGCAGAATAACCCATATACAAAGGCGTAGTCTTTTTCATAAATTTTGCTACTTGTTAATTTTCCTCAGTACTTATAAGTAAAATCTCCCTAATCGCATTTTCATGATCGATGCGTTACAAGCATAGTATGTGTATTCGAGTAACTTTTTATTTTTACGCGATGTGTTGACATGTACAATTTTACTGAATTTTCTGACAACGGATGCGCATCATAAAAATACTAGCTTCGCGAAATGATAATAATATATTCAATGAGGTAGCATCGATTTCTTCTTCAAAATGCTACATACAAAGTTATACATACAGGTGAAACTTGGAATCTTCTAACTTTTATCAATCACTAATATGACTTATGGTCTTTTGTACACATAATTTAAAAATGCTTTAAACCAAAACATTTTGAAAATGCGTAAGTATTTAATGTTACATAGAATGTACGTTCTAACTACATAAGCTTAAATTTTCATTGAGGTGTTTGTGAACTGGATTTCAACTAAAAACTGTACCTTGTCACCTATACTTTTGAAAGAACGCAACCGAAGGGAAAAAAAAGACACCTTCAATTTTCACCTGTGCGTATTAATTATTTTTTTTTTTTTCTTCTTTCTCGAAATACTATTCGAGCATATAGACGTACGTATTTGTTAAAGCTACAAAATCCAACCGAACTGTTGATCATGTATATATATATATATGTATTTTTTTTTATTATACATTTATGATTCCAAATACATAGTCATTTTCATGTATTTATAAGTCGCAGTTGTCTGGCCGTGCGCTGGCCACTAAAGCTAACGTATTTACAAGTAATTCCTCGTCCAGGGATGTCATACTCTCACTCGATGTATATGTCCTCTATGGGGAAAGCCGTCTCGATGAACTTTGTGTAAAATCGGTGAAAAGCTCGTCTGAAAATCGAGGGTCACAAGCGTCAATGTAGATTCAGTTAGCGAACCAAATGGAAGATGCGTAACGATATGATGATCGTCGCGATTAAAAAACTCACCCGACAGCTTCGGCAACAGGTCTGGTCGATTCTTGGCCGATGAAAACGTGACAGGCGAACCTCTGGAGTGTGGGGTGCTTTGTGATGAAGCCGAGGTAACGATGATCCCGGGGGTGGAAGGCGCAGAACGATACGTTCTTCAGTGAGTAAAAGTAGTCGTGACACGGGCCAGTGCTCTTCTGCGCATTTTAATACATGTGCTTATGTAAAAATAATAATACGGGCACGTGTTGCGCTTGTCGCAGGGTCAAGGACCCACAACTTAAAAGTGCAGTTATACGCAATACAAGAAGTGCTCAAATACAAACTTATGTATTAAGACGCTTGTCTCGATAAATTAACGTGGATCCCTCGACGTACGACTTGTTTTTTTTTATCATTACTCTGTTTTTTTTTTTATCCGTAGAACATTAAAAATTTATTTTCTAGATGCTTTAAAATTGAAAAAAAAAAAGAAGTTTGCAATTCACAACAGGCTACTGTGTTCTCGAGTTATCAAGCACTGTTATTCAAGTACTTGAGTACTAGTGGGTATATTATTAACACCGTTCGCTATACATCATTGATTCTTGTTGTACATAAATTAATACGTTAGAAGAAGGCACTACACAATTACGAAAATAATTTGTAACTTTGTCCATCGAATGAAGCAAAGATTATCTATACTTTCAAATATTAGTCTCTTGTTTAATTTGACACGAGTCTTGATTGAAAGTACATTTTTATTTATTAAAAAGATTGACAATGTTTTTTTTTTTTTTAATTAAA